GTTAAAGTAACTTTTCCGGAAATATTTTGTACGGAATGAAGAAGTTTAGTTCTTGATTTTTTTATTTAAATTTTTCACACGTTTTGGTTTTGTATTGAACATTTTCACATTTTCCACTAATTATACTTTAGTTTCCTTACAACTAAGTATAAATCTATGTAAAATTATTAAGAGGAGAAGATGTGACCTCCTCAGGGAACTCATTTCTCAAAATAAATGTATAGAATTAATTAATTAATTACATATCTTTGCATAAATACACACGAATTCACAATTATGTACATAATATAAATTTATAGTATATACCATTTAGTAATTATTTCTGAACAATCAAACTGAAGGAATGATGAATTTATATATTTTAAGTTCATTTGATTTAATAAAAATAATTAAAATAATAATACTGTAAATATTTTTTCGTCAGCATTTTAGTGTACATTTAGGTGCAATAGAGAAGGTGTCCAGTCAAAAGGAATTTCAGGTAATAATAATAAAACTAGGTTTTAAATAAAATTTGTTGCTCAAAAAAGATGTGAACATCAAAAAGTGCAGTTTGCATTGCTTTAGACTCTCAGAGTTATCCCTGACATGCACTAAGACTTGGATTTGGTTAATTTTTTTTAGATAATACTAAAAAAATTAAGTTTTAGAAAAAATTCACTACTCAAGAAGTGTCAGTCTTTAATAGGGGTATATATAAGAAATACTTGAATTATTTTGGGTTTTCATGGTTACGCTAGGTATGTGCGTAATGTTAGGTAAGGTTAGGTTACTGTAGAAGTTAGTCTAAATAATTAACTCACTTAGGTCATAACTTCAATGTGATACCATTACTTATGGAACCTTGCTTAATTGTTAGCTACATATAAAGCCATTTTCTGGTCTTAATAAAACGCAGGATGTTTTCTATCCTAACGTTGAAAACTTCCATAACAGAGTTAAAGACAGAACAGTCTATGAAATTCGGTCTGCTTTGATTAAATGTGAGCAGTTACGGTAAAGATGTTCCACTCTTGCTTCCTCTTCGTTTTGTTCAGAGCTTTTACAATATTCATTAAAGGAAACTCCCATCCTAAGAGCATTCCTACCACACGACCAGCGACCTGTTATACAAAGCAGGATCTCTTAGATATGTTATCTCTTGATAGGGTTAGCAAGTACCTTAATATTTTTCTAACAAGCTTTGTTCACATTAACCCAGATGTTAGACAAGTGTCGTTGCTGTTAAACCAGAATGAGTTGGTTTTTCTCTTGGTTTGTTCTTTTCTTTGAATATTTCTTTTGAGAGTAACGAATTGGTTTTAGGCTACGGTTCATATTTAGTTTATACAATTATTTCAAATTTGATACAAATAATTTAAATAATATAAATTAACACATAATGGTCACACAATGGTGGTACAAGTAGTCGATGTAGACATTGAGTGAGTTTTGCCATTAAGTAGAAAATTTTCCTTAATCTCTATTTTTAAACATATAAATCAGTTTGTAAAATGATATCCTTTTTTATATATAAAGGTATTTATATATACATGTCGATATACTTTATTAAACTATTATTCGCGTTCTTCTTCTTCATTCCATTGGGCTTCCAGGGGAACATTGGGCCATATTATTAAACTATTAAATAAAGTTAATAAAGTTTATTAATAATTGTAATTGTATATATATATGCATTAACATATACATGAACATAAACAGTTAAGAATATAAAAATTTATATTTATTTAAATAAAATATTATGTTCTTAATAAACTTTATTATTAACTTTATTAATATGTTTGAATTATAATATATAAATGTGTAATAAAATCAATATAGAAGGTATCGCAGACAAATTATCTACATCATCACTCAATATTTTATAATCCAACTCAATTGAGTTAAATTCATAACATCAAATTTCATAAAAAAGCATTATATTTTCATACAAATTAATAATCATTATAATTGTTATAATTATTGGTTTATGGTTAATTAGTTTTCCAAACATTTATATTGATTAAGTTCACAATATGTGACCTCATATGAAATAAATTTAATACTTTATTATTTCCATGTCCTTTATTGGCTTAAGTAAGGAAAGTATCTGTGTGTGCGCCCATTTATGTATTTGCTTAGGTACTCGTATTGAGATATGAGTCTATAATTTCTATATAAACACACACGTTTCCAAGCATTGCAGATTATGCGTGGCTTTCATCGATTTTCGTTCTCAACCTTCCTGGCAGTAGTCCTTTCAATAATGTTTATTTATGCTGTAATAAGCAAAATTATGTGCTTAACTTTATGTTACGACTTACGTTACGACTAACGTTACGTTACTTTAAGTTACGTACGCTTTAGTGTAATCAATTTTGTGTTGTGTAGTGTGTTGCCTTGAAAGGTTCAAGTTCGTATCAATAAATTTATAATAATGAAGCTTTTGATTTATAAAAGTGACTAGATATTTACTATTGAATGAAAGCGAGAAAGTGAATGTTATTTATTTACGCTTTCTTCATAATGAAGTTCCTTTTCATAATGAAGTTACTAAATAATATTAATATTTTGAAATATTATTACTATGTTCATGTTTATTAAGTAATAAAAACTTATTCTCTATTCAATTAAAATTTAATATTTTTGATTTTAAACAGCATAAGTTATTGTTAAATTGATATTTGATTTAATTTGATAATTGGTTATTATTGATTAAGTTATTATAACAAAATATAGAAGCTATGACAAGTTACGAGAAGTTACAATAAAGGATTAATTGAATACATGGGCATGTTAGAAATCTTCTCAATGGCGTAGCTGTGATTGTGTAAAGAGTGTTAGGGGATAAGGAATCGGAATTCAACAGAAATTTTTTTATATCACTATTTGCAGTGCTAATAAAAAATCTTTAGTATTCTTAAAAAATAAACTTATTTTATCCAAAAATGTACTAAAACCTATACGGACCTATGGCATTCAACGATGGGGAACAGCCTCAAGAAGCAAGATAGAAATTTTTCAAAGATTTCATTCTAAAACTCTACGAGAAATGGTAAATACTCCATGGTATATAACTAACATCCAAATCCATCGGAACCTTCGAATAAACCCGGTAAAAGACTAAGTAAAAAAGGTAGCTAGAAAACACCATGAACGAATACAAATTCATTCCCACACTTTTGCTTCGAATTTGATGTCGTCTTTATAAATTTTTCCGAGACTGAAGAGGAAAACACCGCTTCAGATATTATAATAAATTCTCAATTAAAAAAGAAAAGAGTAGCTCTTCGTAGGGAGAACTACCTAAATTGTCAATTATTATGACTTAAATGGAATTTATCTAAAAATTGTAATATGTCAGTGCTGGGGAGGATCCATCGTCTACTTCGCACCAACAAACAAAACAAAAAAAAACAGAAATAAAATAATCCATGATATATTTTTACTTTAAAAGAAGTTAGAAGGAGAGCATCAAATCGGAAGTGGGGTTTCAATAGCAAAAAACGAGTAACTTCATTTACACGTGGTTATAACTTCGTTATAGATCTGACGAATTAAGAAAGGAGATGGGGGGCAGTTTATTATTATGCAATGAATTCTATTTTCATTATAAACTATTATAAAGTGTTGCTTTTGGCGCACTTTTTTGGGGAAGGCGATACCACACCATATGCTTCCTTCGCTATGCCCATGTGTCTGAATATAAACTAGACTTCTCTGATGTTATATACACCTTATACTTCAATAAGAAGTAAGATATATGAAATGATCACGTAAATATCAAATGTGTTATTAAATTACAAAACATATGCCGATATGGACATATTAAATTAACAGTAAAAAAAATTTTTTTTAAGTCTTACCGCAAAGAACCAAAGATGGAGGATATCTATATGCAGGACGAAGAGATAGGACGAAAAATGTGGTTTCTGCTTTTTGCGGGGCAGGCATCGAAGTAAAGTGTAGTGTTTAATTAAGAATGCAATAAACCCTCCCGAAATGTGTTCTTATGATTATGATGTTCGATATTGTGTATATTGTTTAAGAAATTACATTAAGATTTCATTTTAATATTATAATGAGTGAGCTGTGAAGGATTGTATTCTTATTTTTCATTATTAAAAAAATTGATCTTAATTTTCATACGCCTTGCATATGATTGTATTAAGTATTGCTAAAAAAAAAACTTGTACATATTTTCCCATGGTTGCTTTTTGCTATATTATGGAATCTATTACTCCATTATTTAAATATATTATATTTCTGTAATGTTATCAATTTGCATATATCATTAAAATGAAAATCGTTAGATTTACGAATATTTCTTTTTATATAAAAACTATTTTATCAATTTATAACTCATTCATAATATCCATTTTTCTGCCAAACTTACTATTCATTCAAAGAACAATGCAAATAAACTAGCAAATAAAATATAAATATAGTTAAGTGGAAATGTGGAAATGCAGTACCTCTCGAAGGGGAGGTATAGCAGGAGAATACATTACTTTCTTTACCTTGTAATTTCACATTTCTTTTACATAATTTGTTTTAGTATTTCTTACTTTTGCTTGCTCAAATGAAGAATCGATGAAAGAGAATTTATTTGCAATTGTGCACATATAAAGGATTCATAAATTGCATCAATTTGTGCATGAAATGAAAAATAAAACTGCACAAGATGAAGCTAGAGAAGCGAAAAAGAAATAGAAAAAGAAAAAGAAAAGGATAATTGTAAGCAAAGGAAGAGACAAGGAGAACTTTCAATGAAGTAGTGTACTTTGCATCCTTGAAGTATGCTAAGAAATTTTGTTTTCCGTTTTTTTTCATACACTGAAGGACCCATAACAGCATAAACACAAATACAAACAAAAGTACAAATACAAGATGAATAAGCAGATGGAGATGCAGATTCAGATGCAGAGTAGGAGTGGAAATAAGAGTAAAAGTAGAAATAGGAGCAAACCCATATAGTACAAATGACTCAAAATAGTTAAATAAGCAGGAAATCCTGTTGCTCACGCCGCACAAATGTAGTAAAATCGTAGTTGATTGCATTTGAATTGTGCAATACATAATGCAGTGCGGCTTGTATGAATGAGATGGCTGCCACTGGTATTGGTACTGGTGGCACTGGTTAGTGCTACTGTCATTTGTTTAGTTGGATCGGCTGAGAATCGTAGAGAAATATAACCAATTGCAAAATATTGTTAAGTGATGCACCATTAAATTGTTGATTGCATCCATTGCATCCATCTATTGAGTTGAACAAATGATGTATATTCAATATGCTCCTCTAAGCACACTACAGTGCGTCCTTTAAGTGTAACTGCCATACGCTAGCAGCTGTATAACTAATATTTAAACTTTACTCCTTACTCCTTACATACGACTACGTGAAGCGCTGCCATAACACTCGACTTATAAACACATTGACAAAAACTTCTGCTTTAATTGATTTCATTATATTTTTATTAAGAGAGAAACTTTTGTTGTCGACGTTGAGTTTCGTGAATTTCGTTGAAAATCTGCGTTATGATGTTAGTAATTTACTTAATCGTATAAATAAATTAAAACTGAAGATGAGCTTAGTGAAAGTTGAAGTCATGCAATTCCCTTAATAAAACTTGTTAGTATTCAAACTTGCAAAGTTTGTACAATTTTTGCACTTTTAATGATATCACAATAAATTGGATAAGGATAAAGCCCGCCAAAACATGTGTGGCATAGAGTGTTGTGCAAGGAATGAAAGTGAGAAGAATAAATGTATCTGTTACTCATAGTTAAAGTTTCAGATGAAGAATATTTAATATTAAATATGAGTATTGTTGAGGAAAGTGTACTTAGTTAGCTCATTTTTACGATGAAACCATAATATAAATTTTCAATATTATAGCAGTATTATTAAACAATATGAACTTATTATATTTCGCTAGAATTTGAAATTAAATATCAGTATTCTGCAGAAGACGTAACCAATAGACTTAGGAAAACCAGATACGAGTATGCCTTCGCTAATCTCAAAAACATTTGGCGTTCAACAATCTTACATTTAAAAACTAAAATTACGATATTCGATGCTTGCGTCAAAAGTGTGTTGTTATATGAATCTGAATCGTGGTTTGTTACAGAGGGCTTCGCGAGTTCCTAAACATTTGATGGCCGAGAAACACAAGTAATAAGCGGCTGTGGGAAATCACCAATCAGCACCAGATTGAAAAGCAAATAATGAAGCAGAAATATGGCTGGCTGGGATATATGGCATTAGAATGAAATCCACAAAATAGAAAGAATCGTGGACGACCAGAAAGCACATGGAGAGGAGCGATAAATAGGAAAACTAACGAATCATTCAGCGAGCTTAGAGCAGTAGCGCGTAATAGGGATGTCTGGAAAGCATGTGTGTATA